GAAACAATGCGGGAAGGCATATTCGGTTATGATGTCGGTGGTCAGGCATGAGAACAAAAGTCGAAGGTCCACAGGCGTCTTGTTTCGCTTAAACTCCTCTAGTCGATTGCATGTCTTGGTGACCTTCTCCACAAGGGTTGGCTCCAAAGAGCTGATGCTTCTCCGTGAGAAGAAAGGGGCCAGGGCTCCCCGTCGAGTCTCATGCAAGTCTGCATCAATGGTGCTAAACGTCGACTCGGGCATACCGAACTGGTCCTTGTGGGGAGCGTATTTGTTCAACTTCAATGTACTGCTTGTAGAGAAGTGGGTTTCTACATAAGGAGGATCATTTATATGCACTTCATTTGGTGCGATCCTTACGACTGGTCCTAGATATGGTTCAGACTCGATACGTGTAACGGCGTAGATTTCAAAGATTATCATAGGTCTCATGGAGCTTTTTGATATGCCAGGGGAAGCGTGCTTTTAGAATAAGATCATAGTACATCTCATAGCCTTGTGTTATCGCAGCCAACCTCGGCCCAGGCACATTTGAGAGTGGACTCAAGAGGACGCGATAGGTGGCAACGAGGACGCCATATAGTATAGTAATCGCAGCGGCAAGTGCCAACACGTAGAACATGACCACCTCAGACAAGTTGAACGAGCGATCAGGGTGTGTGCAATAGTATTCCTTCCGCGGATTAAGAGAAGATATAGTGTAGAGACACGTCGACCAATATCGATGCCCACCGATTGCACGCTTGAGTCGCATGAGAGACTCGACAGAACGGAAGGCAGGTTTTACGCGCCGCGAACCAATGCGACTGCTTGCTACGCCGCAATCTAAAGATAGATCCAACGTAAGTCTTTGCCACTTATGTAACCGGTGGGTAAATTTTCACTTGACCTATGTCTGCATTCCTTCCCTAAACACTTTACGTCGTCTATGCGGAAATGAGCGAACGTTGTTGGAGTTCACCCAAAACTTCGCCTCAAGGCTTGCTAAGCCGCAATCTAAAATTAAAGTCCAACGCAAAGGATTCTTTACCTCTCATGTAGAGGCTGAACAAGGTTTAGTTGAACTTTAGACCTGCAGCACTTTCCGTAAGTGTTATGCCTCGTCTATGCAGGAGAGAGAGGACACTGTTCGAATTTGTAGCTACCGTCAAATTGAACAATATCAGACCGTTCGAAAGCTCAGAAGACTTTTGTCAAGTAACAAATATCACTGCTATGTCATTGCAAGCTCGTTGTTCTTACCAAACATTATGGACCCTCGGAAGCATATAAACTAAATGTCTCATGCATTGAAGCTGGTGTATCAGACCTTGTTTTGGTCTGAAGCTCGAAAGAAATATCGAACACATTGACAAGATTGCCCCTACCGTATGCCAACACCGTTACACTGATTTTCCGAGTTTGATTATAGTTCGACTGATGGGAGTGTGAGAAGCTACAGAAGTGTCGGGAGCTTGGTATAAGAACAAACACACATGGCAAGTTCTCTTGGTCCATGACTGCTGTACTACTAACATCGATCATGGCTCGAAAATTGCAAATACGATATCCTATCTCTTAACTACTCGTACTTCTCTGACCTTGAAGGTAACTGGTCACTAGCCTATATATCGCCCCTGGGAACGTATGTAAGAACTCAAGGTTTCGTGACGTGAGCATGCTGGAGGGAATCTACAAGACAATGGGAAGTTGACGTATCTAATACCATTATAGGACAGTGTTTCTGAGACCGAGCCGTGTTCTAGTATATTGCATTTATTTACTTGAGCAGATGAAAATGGCACGGAATACCCGGAAGGAACACGTATAATAGTCTAATGCTTTACATAGAAAGCGTGGAATTTGCTTATAAGAGCTTTCGATCCTTGTTCGTTATGTCTTGTATCTTGTTGTTACAGGCGAGGATCTGCGGTTGTTATAATGGCGCAACTTTAGGTGCCTTCAAACCGGTCTGCACTGAAGGGTTGAGTAGGCAGTTTTCGAGTATATAACACACTAATATTACTATGCTGCTGCTATGCATCATAGTGCATATTGAATATCGAACATTCACTGAAAGGAAAAAGATTGGCCCTCTCGGGGAACAGGGGGCCCTTCTATCGGACACAGGTGTACGTTCTAATGAGGGAGACTGAGCTTCTGCAATCTATATACTGCCTGGGATCCAGCGATTAGCTAGCCAAGTGACCACGTTCACTAGTTTGCCTGTATGTACGGGGTATCGTCTCAAGCAACCAACTATTTATCCTTCGTTGCCGTGAAGATGGTGAGTGTAGACAGGTCAATATCCAAACATGCACAGTTTTCTAACCTCTGGCTGAACCACGCCATCGCGACATCTCTGGCTTACTTCACATGATCCATGGGTACACGGTGGGGAGTCGCGGCGGTCACGGCCACGACGCAGATTCTCCTTCCAAGGGAAACTGGAGGCTGTGCTTGAGCAAGTACCTGATGGCGTAGAGTCTAAGGCATTCGTTATGACAAGCAAGGCCCGTCGTGATAATATCTTAATAGAGACCATAGAGAAGCTAAAGTACTCAATTACAGTGCTGCACGATCTGGATCCTGATAAGAAGTCTATTGCGGTTAAGGCTTACTACGATGTTTGGCACTTAAGAAAGTACTTTATCTACTACAACTCTTATATCTATATGCAGCTTTCTAATTCCGTTCAAATGTAGAAGCCCGTAAGTACTCACGATATGCAGAGATATTCTGCAAGGAACCACTTCTTGTCGATGATCTAGGCCAGGGGAATTTATTTGCTCGTAGTTGATGTAGTGTGGCGATGAGAACCGACTAAAAGTCATTGTGTGCTTGGTGACATGGACAACCATCGTGGAGCATCTTGTCTGGTCAATGTCTCAATCTCTCGAGCCGGGTTCCCGTGTCATTTGGATAAGTTGTGAACCGACACAGACAGTCGGTAACTTGTAGCAGATAATTGAAGGCTTACAATATAGATTAGGCACCAATGATGGGGGATGGCGATTCCTGCATAAAGTAAGATACCCGCCGGCTGAATCCGATCCCAAACCACAATATCAAGACAGCATTCCCGCTGACGCGAGATCTCAAGAACCTGGACTTCTTCATTACAACTGCCGCGCGCACACTCAGGGCCGTTGTGAGCTTTGACTGCATTCGAACATTCCTAGATCTTTGAGCAAAACGAAATTCATTGACTAGTACCAACTGAAAGGAACGGATTCAGCACATTACAGCTCGCGTAGGAGATCACGACATTCATGCTTCGTAGCATAAAATCCTTGCGTCTCAAGAAAGTGTCTTGAGAGACTAATGTGATGAGCAGGGATTCCCCGCATACCTAACTTCTCGATGAATTCTCCACTTGTACCGAGACTCTAGTCCCGTAATGCTGATCCGCCATATGCTCACAGCACCGGCAGTTAAGTCGTTTGATCCACATCTCCGGGTGTGCGTATAAACGCACCATTGACGAAAAGATGCAAAACCCCCGAACGCACGATTCCTTACACTCTTGATCTATTGTGGAACGGAGTCCTTCCCTACTGCTGCCAAAGCTCAATTCCAGGTCCTCCGGTTCAGATTTTCCCAACTCAGCATGTGGATCCATCTCGGCACAGCCTTGCTTCTCGCGTTCACAAGCACAACAACTGCGGAAGATGAATCACGTTCTCTCGGACCCATAACTCTGCTCGAATCCGGAGGCTTCAACATCGGCGGAAAAAAAATATCCCATCCCAGCTTCCCCAATCAGACTCTATCCTGCGATCACGGCTACCTGGAATACTTCATACCATGGCACCAGCGCAAAACTAATCTCGTCATGTGGCATAGCTCTAGCACGCAGGTTTGGCAGAATCGCTGGGACGGCGGACCCGGCTTCAAAGATCTCTTCCTCCGCCGCGACTACCCCGTCTGGCTATGGGAAGGCCCGCGCATCGGCCGTGCAAACTGGGGTTGCGAGAACATGACCTACCAGCCGTCCTTCTTCTCCGACAATGCCAATTTTGCGGCATGGAACTTGGGCCCGTATTACAAGCAGTGGTGGCCCGGCGTGCAGTTTCCCACGGACAATGACACGGCGTGGCGGCAAGCAACGAGTAACCGATATGTGGAATTTGATACTGCCGCGAATGTGGAACTGCATTCAGATGCTGCGGCCATTGCTGCTGATTCTGGAAAGATTGGGACCGATATTGTGTATTTGACGAACTCGGCTGGAGGTCTACGCGCTATGATGACCACGACGAAAGCTAACGGCACGAATATCAAGGGCATCGTCGCTTATGAAAGTATCGGTTACGTGTTCCCCGATAACGTCAACATCACTGCTGGAAACGGTGGGTTTGGCCCGTTCGTAGTGCCACTCGAGCGCTTCAAGAAGCTGGCCAAAGTTCAGGGCATTCAGTTCATATGGGGTGATCATAGGCCCGAAAATTCTACGTTTGTGCAGCAGAGCAGGCTTTGTGCAAGCTTAATCAACAAGTATGGCGGCAATGCGAAAGTGGTTAAGTTGGCGGAGGATGAGGGGTTGACAGGTAGTACGCATATTGCATTTGCGGATATGGACAACGGGAAGGTGGCCGGGCTGCTGGATGGATTTTTGGAGAGTAATGGGCTGGACGGATATCAGGATGATGAAGAGCAAAAAATTAAGTGATAGAGCATATGAGGGAACAGCGAGTCTGTCTAAGCAGAAGAAAGCGTCGGTCTAAAGAGGAGCAAGCGCGGTTCTCGGCACCACGTCGTGACTGACATCACTCCAGAAACATACAACTACACTTTGAAAAGCCTGCGATGGTGCACTTACTTACTTACTTACTTACTACTGCATACACATATTTATTGTAGGGCAGTTATTGTTAGTTAATCAGAGACCTTGCGCCACTTGTCAATGCCATAGCATCATGTACATGCTCGTGGCAGCATGTGTAATGATAGACAACGAACAAAAAAAGAGCCTGCCACTGAAGGACAACAGAAGAAGAGCACTCAAACGCGCAAAAACATGCCACCACTCGGAATCGAACCGAGGATCTTCTCATCACAAGCTGGCGCTACGAGTGAGACGCTGTACCACTAAGCCATGGCGGCCGTTGTTTGATCTGTGACAACTACAACCGGCAATAGAACTTATATAATTTGCAACCAACCAATAGAAACAGTTGAGGTTTGATGCTGCCGTGCATGGTAGATGGCAAATCTTGTGTGTGGGATGACGGTGTACGAGAAGCTGGACGGGTGGGGTAAGTGGCGCCGTTGGTAACCGATGACAGCTAGACCGAAAATGGACGAGTCCGGTGGATGTGAACTCAGCAAAACACGATGAAGACTCGGACTTAAACCTGAAGAAGCTTGCGATTCCGAAATAGGGGTACAAAGTGATGCGAACATGTAATGAAGCCCCGAAACCAAGAACCAGCAATGCATAGCACCCGTCCATATAGCGTCGCTGACAACTGCACCCGAATGGACAGTATATCGTCTATTTGTCATGACAACAAGGATACATGATGCGGTCATATATAAACCCTCCTCCCCTCTCCCTCCTCGAGATGCGTCGTGCGATCTACATCCAACCGTCTCTGGAAGTACTCACCCACAACAATTTCCTCGTACTCCTGGCCTGGTTTCCGAAATTGCGGCAACACGCTGACCACGCCATCTTCATTCGGACTGAAGAAGAATGGCATAGAGTACCGCTCCTCACCACCCATGTTCCGTACGCGATGCACAGTGCTCTGCCACGTCCCGCCGGTAACAAGCTTCAAGAAATCGGCGACGTTGACGACAAACGTATTCCTTTCGGGGTGAACAGGCACCCATATGCCGTTGGCGTTCAGCACTTCGAGAGCTGGATCCTTCGTTTGTGATTGGCATACAAGCGTAAACCAGCAGAAGTCAGTGTGCGCGCCTATACCGACATCTGTATCACTCTTCTGCGGAGGGTAGTGTACGACTCGAACATTGGTCATCGGGGCGGTAGTGACAGCGTCGAAGTGATCTTCCGGGAGGTCAAGAGCGAGTGCGAAGATGCCGAGTAAGCGTTTCGAGTAGTCAAACATGTGATTATAATAACGGTAAATCGCCGGACGAAAGAACGCCGCTTCCGGAGCTGTTGGCCATTGGTTCCGTGGCTTCGCTGTCGCTGGCGTAATTGGCCGATTCTGCTCAGGATCTGTTGCATCTTCGCCCATCAAAAAGCCTTCTTTTAGATCTGTGTTGTGTCAGCGAACTCAATACCCGAAGACTGGAGTATCTGAACCCTACCTCCTCTCGTGCTAGGATCCAGCTTCCCTTCCAAGAACGCCTCGTATCCCCGAAACTTGTCCGTTTTCTGATTGTGGCTTTCCATCTTAATGTTTGTTGGTAGATCAAAATATTGCTTCACTGCGTCAAACGTATCATCTAGAATCTCTTGATCAACTCCATGGTTCACAGCAACGAAGAATCCAACATCGCGACACGCAGCGCCCACCTCGGCAGCCAGCTCTTTTCTTTCAGCGAGATCATCTGAGAAGACTCTTCTCATATCAATTCGAGGAAGTGAGTTGAACGTCGGCTTGGCAGCTTTTCCTGTCAAGATGCGTCTTTTTCCAGGGACCCCTCCATCGTGGTAATGCACGTGTTGTTCAGTCTCCGTCTGCGTCTCGGTTGTAGACATTGTCTTTCAATAGATATAAGACTAGTGTGTGCTACAAGAATGGCATCGCCCGTCTTATGTACCTTAAAGGACTGTGATAACAGTATCACAGCGCGAGGAACTGTTGTTCTGCAAGGCGGGTCGCTACCAATGAGGGGTAGACACGTTATCGTTACATGTAAGCCTGCGGCACGGCCGTATAAAAACAGTAGGATCTCCTAAAATGACTAGAAGTACGACAGAGCACTCAATGGTTGAATACATACGCCCTGCACATCGCGGAGAGCCGGCTCGTGGAACGCACTGCGCCTGGTACTACGCAATGCGACGTATTCGATTTTGTCCGATAAGGACAACCGGTCGCAACCGACAGCTCGTAGTGTAGCATGAGATAAGCTTTCAGATAGCTCTTATTTGAACCTTCATCTCCTAAAATTTTGTTCTCGTTTAGAGTCCGCTGGAGGGTTACTCTGATCGCAGCAAAGACGCCGCGACACAGTATGTTCAGTCTCTGAAGTCGAAAGGTACGTGCTGTCTTGCCTCTCAACCACCTGTCATCGGCCAAACTTTTTGTATCGGCCAAGTCTTGAAATCTATGCCAATAGCTAACCCAAGCTCGAGAGCTTCTCCAGACTCGCAATCCTCGGAGTACTATTGTTAATCACAAGTTCCATCCCTCACGAAGGCGACCTCGGCCCGCAACGCAGACTTCGAAAGCTTGGGCCGTGAACCAGCATTTAGCATCGGGAACGCCTCCTTGTAAAGACGACGGCCCCGGCCCTGTTGTTGACGCACCGCTGTCGCTCGCATAAACAAGCGCCGATCACATTCAGTATGAATGGCGAAATGGGTAGCACTAAGGTGTCGTATCCTGTAATATCGTATCACCCGTAACTCTTCGTTAAGTGCCTTGACATCATCGTAAATGTTCGACATGGCAGGAAGATGTGTCCGAGAGAGTGTACGAAGGCGCCTCAAATGGGGCATAAAATCTGCGCTCACAACGCCATGACGGACATTGCGCTGCTCGATATTGTTAACGGCACGGACAGTGTCCCGAATGATCCCTTTTATGGAGCCAAGTAATAACGGCAACGCATGCGCGAAAGCCTCGGCGGGGAGAATTTCGGGGTTTGTTGTCAACCAGCTGGCAACGGTTCTCAAATTGGCAGTATCGCGGAACTTTGACGCTAGCAGTTCAATTATGGTGTCCGTATTTGTCTCGAGTACTTGACCGTGTTGCAGTTTGTCTTTCGTGCGGTTGGCTTTGAGCTTCATCCTTAGGTCGTTCCTTTCAACCCAACGGTTTTTGTGCAATCGTCGATAGTGCAGAGAAGATCGGAACAGATGCAGGTCGAGAGAGTGGTACGACATGGTGACACGTATGTGAGCGAGTTCATTTAAGAGACCGGAAATTTCGAAACCTGAATCGTTGATCTCAGCCCATGTGGTCTTGAGCCGCTCGAATATTGGCTTCGGAGCAGTGCGAATTAAAAACAGCAGGAAGCGGGTGTCGTAAATGTTCTGGGTGAAGCTAAGAACACCATTGTATGCGTCCAGTAAGCCCTCGAAATATGCTTCCATGTACGAGTCAAATGATCGGGAAGGCGATTCCTTGAGAAGGCGATTCCGGGCAGTGATCCAACCTTTCCTGGCAACTACTACTCCCCGATAGTCTGTCGATTTCCCTTGTATATATCTGTTATAGGACGCTAACACTTTGGCATCTAACTGCCTGCCGTCCCAATCTTCCCATCGTATGAGGCCTGTCCAAGTTGAATGTTGTACCTGGATAGATCCTGCGCAATCCGAGGCGTTGACCGACACTTTGTAATCCCTGGTCTCGCAGAACGACTCTTGCTCATGTGCAATGGAGATTTGGCTATAGACAGGACCGCTGTAGAGTTTCCTGAATTTCTCAAAGGCAGGCCCAAGCGAATCCTTACCGCTGTAGTGTTTGTTGATTTTCTTCAAAATCGGTCGTGCGGGGAAATTCTCATTGGGCTTTAGGACTCTTCATGAGATCTGGCGCGGCTGACGTCGTGATAGGTCTCGCTGGTCCCCGAGATCTCGGCGCTGGATGAAATGAGACTCTTCCCATGTCTCCTTTGGACGGGCTTTGTATTTCGAGAAGGTGCCGCTCCACGCCCCACGACAACTGGTGATCTCGTGACAGGTGTTGCATCCTCCTGGGAGTCAGGGATGCATGGCAAGAGTGGGCGTCGCTTCGGCTTCTTGGAATTCGGTGTAAAACGCGCTGCGTTCCAGATCTTCTGGGTGCTGAGAATCCATACGTCCATGGGTTGGAGAAATCGCGAAACCTTCGCGCCTGCCGAGGGTCTAGCCATATCGAGCGTAGTGCCGCTGCCGTATGGAGCCGAACTGCGATTTCAACGACTCCCAAGGACCGAGGAATACCAATGTACACGTCAATTCCTTTCCATGCTTGGATCCAAGCATCAGACTGTAATGGGGGCGTCATAGGTCTACGACGGTACTTCTCCTACTAGGCGCCCTCATGTGCTCATTGCTAAGAATCCATTGATAAATGTAGACTCTTCTAACAAAGGCCAGGTGCTTTGATGCGCCTATATTACAGTCCCAATTCTTTGTTCTGCCTGTTCTTGTAAGGTGTTCTTTGTGTCTTCTGTCATGATGGCTATAGCTGCATCTTGACGATGCAGAAGATCCTCAGAATGCTCTAACTTCAAAGCGGCAGCAGAAAGCATGGCACACTGCAGGAATCTGCGCAGCACACCTCGCCGGGCTCAGAAGCCCTATGATCCTCACGATCGACCCCCCAAGAAGAACACCCGATCTACTACCTTGCAACGTCAGACTCGATCAACTCGATCGCGACTTTCCCAGGCCTCCATCGACCTCGACCTTCTTGAAGCGGAGCTTACCCTTCGCATCGCAAGAAAAGACAGAGCTAACAGAGGAGTGGTCAACATGAAAGCATCAGACACTGAATCGGATGCCGAAAGCCATTCTTCGAATGACAAGCACTCCGACAGCGACGCGGACGAGCTGGAAAACCTATCTCACGCGAGTTTCGCGAGCAAACCCACAGAGATGGTGAGTAGAAACGCATCGTACGACAGTCGCTACGACCCTGGCAACGAAAACTACGAGCTAGATGAATTTGTCGTTGCAGACGAGTCTAGTTATGGAAGCGAAGCGGTGACAGACTCCGAGGAAGAACACACCTTCGAAGTTGGTATCGACCTGCGAAATCGAAGGCTGGTACGAGATGCAAGCCCTAGGAAGCGCTTTTCAACGCCCTCGACATCCTCTAAGCTCTTTTGCTCGGAAACTGAAGATGGACAATCCTCTAAAAGGCGACCTTCTCTCGTCATAGCCCCTACAGAAAGCCCGAAGAGTCCAGCTGCAATCTTCATCTCAGACGACCCGGAAGAGATTGTCGAGCAGATTATGGATGCGCTGGCTT